TTAGGACGCAGCCGTCAAAAACAATTAGAATTGCAATCCAGTCATAGACTTGGGCATATGCGAGTGATAGGTAGGGCATCTTCATTTTACGATTGGAGCAGTTGCACTCATCACCCACGATATTCTCAGCGAACGCCTGCGGTAGGGTGATAAAGACACTGAAGACGGTGATTGTGGTGCTGTAGGTGGGTATCTGATATTCTTCTGATATCATCTTGTAGTGATCAGCACCAGTCACATCGAGGAGATGATAGACGGCGAAGAAGAAGAAGAATTGGAAGGCGATGACTATGAAGATCCAATAGAAGAATCTGCCGGTCCAGAAGATGCAGACGAGGCGGTTGAAGTGGTAACTGGGTGTCTTTGGTATTTCAGGTGTTACGTACATGATGAAGGCGACCAAACAGGCCATCCCACAGGACACAACTAGGCCTCGCAGGAGTGCTTAACTTGTCTTGCAGGGTCCACGCAACAGAAATAGGAGTATAGATACGGCAATGTTTAACAGGAGTCTTAGAGCTGAAATCACGATGAGCAGGATGTCAAACGCATCAGGCCATTTATGTAAGTCAACGCAAGTCCAGAATGTATACGACTCACCCATGTCCTCGTTGGATAATGCACGCACTCCAGTTGACCGCAGTAGCTATAGACGTTGCTGTCCTCTGTCAGATGTACTGGCCAATAGGCGTTTTTTCTCAGATGGCACTATACTTAAATATGAGGTTTTTCTCAATGGGCCATAAGGACATGATTGATAACTACGCCGCCCGATAGGTAACATAAAACTTCGCTTTATTTAAAGGAAGATGTTTGCTGCTCACTTAAATATCAACCGGCGAACCCAGTTTTAAGTTTAAATTACAAAGTATTCTTGATGAGATGTGGACTGTGGTTTTGACCATACATCAGTTACTGGTGTTGTACCAAACCTTTAATCAGTGGTCAAACAGGTGAAGCATTAAATTTGCTATTAGTTGCAATATTTAACATGTAAAATATTTTCCTAAAAAAAGAATATGCCTTGAAAAGGAAGGCGCATGCACGCCCTGTCATACATGAACAAGTTCAAATGCGAGTAAATTTTTTAGCGCACGGCGTTTTTTTATACACGGCGTAATATAACAACACCACAATGCATCATAACTATATCCACTATACAGTTCGATGAAACTTTTAGCACAATGTTAACTTGACATGTATGTTCAACGAAAAGGAAAAATATCGTCAAATCGCTTGCTCGCAGATTCGTGGGGTCACTTTATGGCGGATTATCATCAAAAAAAGCAGAATGAAAAAAGTGATGCAAAATTGATCAACTGCCGATTGTGCTCGTCAGACACTCAAAAGATACCTGCTTGCTTGCACCGACGTTTCAAAAAAGGGAGTGACCCATCTTCGCCCGACCTAAAATTTAAAGAACGATGGAGCAATCAGATCTTTGCGTTTATAATTTAATTATTTAGCGGGAAACTGCATAGATGAGGTCTTGTAGGTGACATAAAGTATCCTGGTAGTCGACATCCATTTCGGAGGCGCAATCTCATATGTGACGACATTAATTTGATGTCAAATCGAGGTTTTCACACGTTTTCGAAGACCCCCACGTTTGCCAGTGTCAATAGCCATCAACTATGGAATGTAGCCCGTCTGGAGAACGACCTAGGGCAGCATCAGCATTAGGAAGCTCATGAGTATCCTAAAAGATGTCCTCGGCTAAAATGGGATTCATTGACGTCGGATGTATCTCAAAATGTTGCGGACCAACATGCATAGTGATCGCATAGAAAAGACACTATCACAGTGGCAAGCTCCCATTGAAACGCTAATACGCATCTAGCAGTAATCTTTTTTTATTTTACTACTAGGCACAACTTCCATCAAGGCGCAACTGCAGACGTACTTATCAGATAAAGGGGTGCATATACAACCTGTTATGCTAAGTACTAAGTCAAGCATATGTGACCTGTCCGTTCAGAATACATGCTGAAATTCGATTTGTTTAGTCTACGTCTGAGCTACAAAGTAAGAATTTTCAATAATTTCGCTTTCTACCTTCTGTACACGATTGTTCACTCATGCTTATAAAATGTAAAATGGTCAATCTTTACGACTTGCATGTCATGTGGATTCCATAACGGTTGCCGTAAGCTGCAAAGTAGACCTTTGAACAGTCCAGCCCGTCTAAGGCTCTTGTGGAATGCGGCATACAATCATAAATTTTCACTCTCATCTAAAACTTTCGTATGCGAAACAGCTAAGCAATGTTCTTCGGGGTGGTGGTACGAATGCTTTGTTCAAGGGACTCCCCCGTAGACTATAAACACTAGTAATACAACATACAAAATAACTGGTCCACTTAATGAACTGGTAACCGACATTTTCCAAAATGTATTAGATAATAAGGAAAAACCTACACTTGTAATGCTAAGTATCTCTCAACGTAATTTTTTGCTATTTCAGTCACCACGGCCTGCTGGCTCCTGGAAGTGCTTTTATTTGATCGATCACAATGACTTCACGCGAAAAATAATAATCACTAATTTTTTTGGAATTTTTCAGCTTTAATTCCAATAACCAAATAAGCATATAACCGTCTCGTGGTGGAGGCTCGAGTGAGAGCTCTAGTGGCAACATGGCTCATCCTCTCCCAAAGAAGCAGAAGGAAAAGAGGGGCGGACTCATTGACAAAATTGTATCTGAGGTGACTTTTCGGAAACCACCTCGCCTTCACCGTCAAAGTGCTGAACTTGCACGGGCAAACGCCTGGACCCAAGATTACACAAACGTCGACCTGAAATCAACTGTAAGGACGAGTTGTTTTTACGTCTATGGTCAAGTGTAACAGCTGATCAACGACTTTGCCTTTGAGAAAGCGGGGTGATCGGCAAAGCCAATGAGAAGATGGTGAGGCTAGTGTTGGAAAGTTGATCCTCCACTGGCACAATCAACAGAGCTATAGACTTGAACATTGCGCACTCGGCGCGTCGCATAAGGCTCGGATCAACTCGGGCAGAGTCGGTAGGGCAAACATTCACGCGAAACCGAGAGCTTACGCTCACTGAAAATAGGGGTGGCGGTCGGAGATCACGCGGCCAACATCAAATACCGTCTTATCGACGCACTCGCGAAACGTAGAACAACTGAAACGAAGCGCAGCGAGTGATCTGTCCGCTGGTTGACGTGGGAGAGACCAGCAAGCATATTGTCTCGCCTACAACTACGCTGACCACAGAGGAGACGAATCTCACGCAAGCCCACCAGTAGCCAACCTCTGAGAGACCAACGGACACCGGTAGTCGGCAATGGAAGGGCAGGTCAGAGTTCGCGCGTCCAGTACGGGTATAATTCGAGGTAGACAGCAAGACTGGATAACTCAAGACCACCAGCCGCAGCAAATATAATACTGTAACGATGGAAGCGAGGAGGTTTCCGGAACGTCAATCCAAGTACAATTTGGTCCAAGAATCCGCCCTCTCCTCCTTTTGTTCTTTGGGAGACGATGAACGCGATAGCATATCTGGACGCCGAATCTTTACGCAGACTCTTCTATAATCATTTAATAACAAAGTTCCCCAAAATTAAATGCTACGTTTAAAAACAAAATCGTCTTGCTTTAAAAATACTCTTACAAATACCGAAACACGTAAACCCTGTTCACATTTGCAGATGCTTTTTTGGGTTTACAAAGGGCACTGTATTTTGCACGTGTCAGTTAAATCTAGCATGTTCCAGGCCTCCATACAATCTCAGTCATTATCTCAGCGAAACTTTAATCCTTTCTTGAAGTTCAAAATTTGAAGAGTTTTGCTTCCGAATGGGAACAAAGGGAATTAGTTTAATGCAATGTTGACTCTATTCGGGAATAAAAACCCATTGTAGAAAGTGCAACCTATATAAGTGGTATACTTTTACAGACTGTAGGTTTTCGAGGGGACAGAGCGAAGAACAACCATGACCCTGCAATTTTGCCTGGCTGAATATTCTTCGGCGTATGCAGCATGCTTAACCGCAAACCACCCTCAATTAAGTTGTCCTTTCTTATCGACAATATATTTCTGGAGTTCGGTTAAGATTTCGTTTGATAGGCCAGCATCTGTTGTTCGCGAGAAATCCAGGTTCCTTTTAAAAAGGTGGAAATAACTGCCAAGGCAAACTGGTCTGACTAATCAGCCTACTTTGAGTATGTTTATAGGTTATCATTACGTCGAAGGATTCAAATAACTGCAAGAGCATTTGATCGTGATTCTCTTTAGCATTTATAAATATTTGAGGTGTCTGATGCGCATGATTAAAAAAGACATGAATCTATTTTGAAAGGATACCCTTAGGAACTTTTCATCTGAAAAGAAGAAGACTCGATCGCTGGGACAATACATTTATTCGGCTGACGTTTCGACATCCGTCGCGGATTCATCCCCAGATACACGAGTAGGAAACAGTAGCAGAAACTGGTAATGTATGCGCAGATGTTCGCAGTATTTGTAGGATACAGTCATTAATGCAAACGTATAGCGACAATTAACGTTAATTGCCTTCATGCGCGGGCTCTGACCTGTTGAACTTTCATCACGGGCGGTGGGCTCGGGCGTGATGATTGCTCGACCATTTGGCTATCCGGTGTTGGCGTAAGATGAGGCGGTGGCCTGCCCGTTTCTCATGTGATGACTTTCTTTGGCCAAATTGAGTCTCAGCATTGAATATGGATTTGGCAAATTGTTGAACTTTTTTATGGATTGGGGGCCCCTGAACG